AATAAATTCCCACGTGAATGGAGAGCAAAAAAAATGGGTTGCTCAAATTCGAAAGCCGCGCTGCGAAGTCTTTCTGTACTATGCGCCTAAGTTTCCGTTATATGTCTTGCCATACATCGGAATATCAGCACTCTGTACTCCTATTTCTCGCCCGCTACCTCACGTATAAAGAAACGGAAACCCGGAAGTTGAAATTAGACTTGTTTCCATAATAGACGTGGATTTCATGTAAAACTAGGTTTTGAGTATTCGATGGTCTTTACTTTTTGCCTTACCGTATTCCTGTTTTCAGTCATTGATATCATTTTTGCTGAAAACTTTGGATTTCGAATTTCAAAATGAAGCATATTTCTCTGTCAAAGTGGCGCACAAACCGCTTGCTGTAGCATGCTACCACTGATCCTTCCAGAACTGGGCTACAGAAAACAATAATTGTTCTCAGTTTTTGTCTTTTAACTAACACACATCTTTACCATGGACCTGCACCGTTATCTTCCGGTAGAGGCGGGAGGCATTTAAGAGGAGCACTTTTCTCTGACTTATGAGGTAATTTTAAACGTATCTCGAACCAACCATTGCCCTGACTTCAGTCAGATATTTTGCTTTGCTTTAACAACGACAAGAAATGAATCATCCGGACACCTCTGTGTTTCCAGTAAATACCGCTCATTTTTTATTCGCATTAGTGCTACTGGCTGCATCAAGAAGCTAGGCCAACTAACTCCATTCCGCATTATAGCTATTAGTACTTTGCCGCGTTGCGTTAGAGCAAACCCCATTGTTCTTTAATCTTCCGGTCGGAAGTGTGTATCTTCACTCCCCACCCATTTTTTATTGGTGTTAGCGTATTTTGATAACGTTTCGCCACATAAACGTTCGCAGCACCCGAAAATCATTGTCGGTCTGGTTTGTTTCATAATCATCATAGCCCGGATATTTGTTACTGGGTACCTTGTATTAAATTGCGTTGGTTGATGTTCTTTAAAGAAGAAAACTTTACGTTTTATTGGAGAAAAAAATATGCCACAGGAAAAGTGGGTAAATTAAGAAATAACTGCATAATTCCTTGGAAGACAAACAAAATACACCATCCAGAATTGTCTATGGCTGATCTTCGACTAAATGAAAATAAAAAATAAACTACTGAACTAATATCATATTACTTACTCACTTCTAATGAGAAACGACATCCTAAAACTTAATTAACTTTCCCACAAAATAAAACAATACGTGTAGAAGCATATAAATGCTGAGTAATTGGTAGACATAGGAGATGAAAAGCGAGTTTATATGCCATGCATGCAAATATCTTCTTTAATTAGTGTAATATAAAGTATAAAAACAAATTCACTGTCTAATAAGAGGCCTTGCATTCGCGAGTTACTTCCCCATGAGGTCAATGTAAGCCTTTCCTTCCTGTACCATTCGAAATGCGGTCTTCTTTTAATGAAAAAAAAATTTAATTAGATTTCCCCGATAGGTCTGTCACAGGTTTCATACGCACAAACAGGTATGCATAAATACATACATGAGATATTACGATTTCATTAGTAAACGCAAATGCAGCACACCAGAGTTGACATCTTCTCAAAATGACATTAGACGTGCTTCTTACGCGTGGATCAGTTTTATGTGATATTAGACTTGCGTAGCACGATCTCTTCTCTTTCCCGTCCGAGTCCGGTGTTAAAAGTCACCATCCGATGGCACTGAGCAACCAACAAAGAACATTCCATCGCGCATGTAAGATGGTACAGAATCAGCCCTCAAAAGAGCAAAGCTGAGGGTTAGCTAGATTGGGGAATTGGGAATGATTCATTTGACGATATTCCGATGGGCGTCGGCTCTTTTGTTCGCAGGAGAACGACTGTGTCCGCTGTCCGACTCCAGTTTGCTGCGGCCGAATAACAAAGAACCAAGGGTCAATCTATCAAAACGAAAGCCGCCGTAATTGGGGGAAGGGAAGCAAATGCCATCTTCAGTTAACCCAGTCACCGGCACATTTGTCAAGTAGTGTGGGAGAGTGGTAAGCTAGAAGAAGGTTCTTTACGCGGTGAACTTTCTAAAGGAGTGCAGCCTATCCGAAAATGGCAGCTAAAGTAGGAGGTTAGAGGTTCAAAGGACGATAATAATTCAATGACTAAATTGGCCATACTGGACTCCAAAATAAGTTTTATTTCCATTTTTTCTTACCTCCAGAGTGCAGTTATTTCTTGCTGAGCACATCGATTCCGAAAGAAAAGTCAAAAACTCTGCCTGCCGGCGTAAGTAAGATATAAATATTCACAGTTCGCTGCGTTTTGCGTTGGTTGTAGTGAACGTTTGTCAGTTTTGACCACCACAAAGTTGGCGACCCGGGTTTTTTGCCGCCGTAACAAACATCACCTTCTAAACATTTGATCCTGTAGATTAAATTATCTGTTAATAGCAGAAAAGCAAGATCCCAAAGTAGTCCTTTTTGGGATCCCGTGAGATTACTGTCTTCGTCTTTTACAACTTGCATTCCAACCACAGGGAATGGGTGATAGGGCTACCTAATGTAAGTCTACAGATGGCCGATATATAACACAGTATCGACCGCCGAAAAGTTCAACCGGAATTTCTTTTATCGGGGTTGTCAATAAGGTAGTTTACTCTCCCAAGTCATTTATTAAATTCACTTCTTTCAAGTGCATAGAACGTGATCCGAATTGCAGCTAAAGAATTTGCTATCATTTTTGGCTTATGAAAATGCCCGCTGTCAAACATTTTTAAAGTTCTAGGCAGGAAGTTAGCCAACCACTTCGCACTTCTGATCAGTTCATGAATGTTAAGATTTGCAGATGGATTTGGGGAGGGTGTGCTAGAACTCATTAAAAATGTCCCCTATTCAAAACGTGATCAGTATAATGTCGAATTCTGAAGAGTAGTTGACGAGCATACGTAGGTTTTCAGTAAATTCTCATCGGTCCATTATATATACGGGAATGAGCTATAATGTTAATGTGCGGGCAATGACTTTCAGCATTTAATGTAAATAACTAATGGGGATAGGGGAGGGGTTGGGGATTGATTATAGATTGCAGAGGGAGAAGAAAGAGAGAGAAAGCGCGGAAATTGCAGGCAGTTATGGGACGACCGGTCATGGCAAGTTCAGAGCTTGCATGAGGTTCCCTAGCGCGCCGAAAATCGGCTTTCTCAACCGGATAGGGGTTGCTTCTACTATTGCTAACAAACGCTGATCCCGGAACTTTGGATTGTTTGGTGTGGCCTTATAAATCACCTTGAAGGTTACGCTAGGGTCTACACAATATCCGGAAACAACGATGGGAGCGAAAATGGCACTGTTTATAATCCTGACTGTACCTTTGCTCAGTCATGTCGGGAGTTGCTTCCGCGTTCATTTGGAAAAGGGCCCACTCGTGCGACCAATATAACCTGCTTTACACGAACAAGTAAATAAGGTAACGTACATGGAAGTGGTCTGAACTAGCAACCTATCCTTACCTTCGCCGTGTAGGACCGGCTTGCTTGAGAATAACACTCAAATTCTTGCCGCTGGGAAGGTTCCCTCTACATCTTAGTCAAAGTATCTTCTTAGGAGTTCGATTACTACATCCCTTTGAGAATTTGCGTCTTATTTTCTACAGTGTATGTGGCCGGCTTTATTTCTCTCTCTACCGTATTCTTTATGATGAATCTGTCAAGATATCCGTTCTCACGAAACAGTTCCCGGATTTTCTTGAGATCAATGTCAATCTTCAGCAATTGTTTCTAGCTTTCTGCGTTAAGCAGCGGACCAAATTATGTTCTGTTGGATTTGTACGAAACCGCTAAGTTTGTTAAAGATTGTGTCATTTGAGTCAAATGCTTTTTGTAGTGCGCCTCTCGTATCCTCCCAATGAATAGCAGTCTTTTGGTCAAATCAGATAAGCGCAAAACACACTAAGAGAATTTTTCCCCATGTGACAACCACAACACGGCATGTAACTGTCAAAACACACTAGGCGTTTGAAGTGCACCAACTGCAGGTTATGGGGTAAATCAGGGAAATTACCTATTGGTCCAAAGGGCATACCCTTGGGAATTTGCTGTAGCTGACGTAATCCCGAGAAAAGTTTTAGTTTTGGGGCTTTGGTCATACGTTCTGCGCGGCTAACTCATCCTGCGACATATTGTCCCTGAAAGTAAGTTGTCACTCCTAATTACTGTATACATCTTAGGATTTGACAGCTGTCTTCCTTTTTAAGATTGGTCAGTTTTCTTTAATACTTTCTTCGTGGAATTTCCTGATAAAATCAGGAGTAACGTCGCTCAACCACACATTGTCCTACCATCGAGTAGGGCGCGGCACGTAAAAGACCATGCGGTAGATGCCATGAAAGTTTGTGAAAGTCATTCATGCTGTGGACATCGTTGCTATCAACGAACTAATTGTCGGTGGTTACTAAAGTTGGGACTCCAATCCCTTCATTGTTGGCCAATACAAGTCTTTGCCCCAATCTCACGTGTAAATAAATAGTTTCACGATTTCAATCGACCCCTAATGCAGTTAAAACAGCGGTGCAAATATTGGCTTGTAGGAGTACTCAATAATTGCCTAACGGCTAAACAAAAGGCTTTCAAATTTTGTTCCTTTATAGATACGTGTAACTGGGATAAAGTTCTTCATTAACGAACTGAACGAACGCAATCGGGTTTTCATCGGGCCCCGCACACACATTGTCACAGTTCCGCGCGATGGCAGCGATGGTGACGTCTCATCAGTCTCCGTTGCACGCAGTGACTTCCTCAATTCCGCCGACGCTCCCATGGAGCACAGTATTGACGGCTTGGAACCTAATGGCATCTTCGACGTGGAACTGCGGGCTGTCTATGAGCCAATGGGAAACCGGCCCACCGCAGAAACCGAGGCGCCCTGGGAGAAGACGAGCTGTCGCACGAAAATGCATCGTACGTTCACAGTTATAATCATAATATAACAGTATATAATGTGATATATAATATATATTATGATGCACTGATATATTATTTTATCCCGAATGAATGAGAAGGTTCGCAATCCAGGGGATTTTATGGCCAAGGAAGAAGGCATATCGAGCACCAGATCAATTGATTTATTGTTCTGAGCTTTCGAACTCGTACAGGAGTCCATCTTCGGAGATCTCTGAAGATGAACTCCTGTACGAGCTCGAACGCTCAAGAACAATAAATCAATTGATCTGGTGCTCGATATGCCTTCTTCCTCGTCCATATTATTTTATCATTTATAAAATATTATAATATATATTTGTTTGAAGCACACGTGAGTGTTAGTGCATCTTTATACATAGTATACATTTAGAATGAGGTTAATAAAGAGTAACATTATGGCAAAATGTCGAAAGCGCTCGCAATGCACTCATTTGAAACAGCTGGCAGAAGCTGTGTCTCATCCCAGTGTTGTGGGAAAGGAGCTCGCAGGTGAGAATCGGTTTCGCTGTGAAACAAGAAAACTGCTGGGAACCGCAGGCCAACTGGCTTACGCGTGAGAATCTTGGTAACTGCTCCTTCTGAAAAACGACTGATGTATATGTGTTGGTTTTAGGAACATAGGAGATGTCAAGGTAATCCATATTCTAGCATAGAGTTATGTGCCCGAAAGGCTGCATAAATTAGCTCAGGCAAACGTAATTTATGTAATGAACCTCATAAACTCCTTGTCCCAGCATTTTGTTCTACGGAACCGATGGTTATAGGGTTTTTGGCGTTGGGGAAATAGGATACGCAGGGAACGAAATTTTTTGGAAGTCACTGTAAAGTGAATAAAATGTAGCCGAATTTGTTTCCTGCGGCCGTTGGTGTACGTTGTTCCGCATGTAAACTGAAGGTGTGCCTGAGATTCGCGCCGCGGACTAGACGACATCCTAAACACTATTTATAATTTTCAGGAATTTAAAGAAACCTGCAATTTGATAATGGGGTTCTTCAACAATGCGTTAAAGGATAGTACAGATTAGGAAATTCAACAGATATAAATCAAAACGTTTTCTAAATACAATCAAATAAAATGCATATAGCAGTCATTAAAGTTTACTCCACTGTATATCCTACTTTTACACCCGTAAAATCCTATAACAACCGCTTCCGTAGGACCAAATGCACGAACTAGTTATTCATGAGCTGTACTACATACATTGCTGTTGCCCTATTACATTTTAGAGAAGAAAAACATAGACACAAGCCGTGTTGTGACACTGGTTGCCGAACTATAAGCTCTACACTTTCCGTGTAGGGAAACCTTATATTTATATGCGTTACTACGAAGATGTCGTCTAGGTATGATAACGTTCTGCAGTGAGTGTGGACAAGATTGTAGACTTTACGATGAGCATACAGGTCGGCCAGGTCAACTTCCGTTTTCGTTTTTCTAGAATTTTTCGCTTGATAGTGCGCACTTCCTTGCCTTCTGATCAACGCTTCAGACAAGTTACTTTACCACTTTTTCCGCTTTTTCTTAGCCCCCGTCAACATATCTGCGCCTGTGCCGGTTTCGTATAATGCCAAGACCAACGGAGTGTTGATGCGGATGTTTCGCGTCAGCGAACGCCTGGGACCCATTCGCCGGTACTTTCTCATCGTCACCCGTCTGGAGCGCTCACATTCCATCAACAACCTCGAGAAGATCGACTGGCATGCCGAGGTAAGAACATGCACCGGGAGAAATCAGACTTTGCATTCTTGCCTCGAGTGGTGTTCACCTTCCATTATATGATTTAAATTCCCTGTACAAATGCCTGTTAGATGAAGCGAGAAGGCCAAGGTAGACTCAAGACAAATTCGTCCTCTTGCAGCTCTTCTTATGCCCTTTTGTATATGATATGCAGCACGCGCCAGAATTCGTGCAACATGCCGACATAGTCGAAAAATTGATACTATTTCACTAATCGGCATTGACTCAGGTTGTGAACTGATTATCGTTTAGCCTTTTCTGAAGTTATGTCCGTCATGACAGGATGCGGGCTTCTTAACGAGCTTCGTGCAGAGCACTAGCAAAACGTATGTACCGTAAAAGTAACTACCTAAATAGTATGCCTTTTTATCATTGATTTTGACTGCCTTCATAAATTCAAATATATTTCAATGAAGGTATGCATGAAAAAATATTTCTTGTATTAGTTTGGTAGAAAATTACGCTTTCTTTAAATTTTATACTTAATGAATGGGTTTCCTTCGGTTTTAGAAACATTTCTTATTATGAGTTTTGTTACGACTATGAGGTGTGCATTCATAATACATCGTATACGTCAACTTGTATATGCTTCCTATACTGTAAAGAGCATGTTCCACTCCTATTTCAATATTTCATGTGAACTATATGACGTCTTCCTCCAAGTCTAGGCAAAAGCGTACTTTTCCTTAAGCAGAATGTACAAAGTGCGCAGTTTTTACTCCTTGCATTCGAGTGTAGCAGTCAGGAGGTTTCAAAATTAATCGCCAATTAGAAACTTTTTTAAGCCAAGAGATACCTTTTCCTTAAGTATAAAATTTAAACAAGCCGTAATTTCCTACCAAACGAGTACAAGAAATAATATTTCGGTGCATGTTTTCCATAAAATATATTCGAATCAATAAAGGCAGTCGAAATCAATAATAAAAACGCATACTATTAAGGTAATTACGTTTTACAGCATTAACGTTTTGTTAGTGGTCAGAAAGAAACTCGTTAAAAAGCCGACAGCCTATCATGACTGAAATAACTTCAGAAAAGACTACAAGATAATCAGTTCACAATCCGAGTTAATGCCGATTAGCGAAAGAGTATCGATTTTTCGCATAGGTCGGCAGGTTGCACGTATTCCGGCACGTATTTCATATACTGAATTTAATGCACTGATCCTATAAAGGGCGCTCCTTGCAAAACACAGTAGACAGGGTTTTATGTGTTTTGCATCGAAAAAGGTGTGGACCAACACAGAGTACGCGCCTAGCAGACCGCCCTTGCGTGCTCAGAGCAGTCAACAGTCACTAGTTTCTATTCCATCTGGAAAAAGAAGAAATAGTGAACCCAATAATAAATCCCCCATCCTCACCGTACCACTCAATACAATAAATAAAACACATATGATCTTAGTACTGCACACTTAAGTTCGTAGCTTTGGTGATCGCTATCTGACCTTATACATACTAACACAATATAGTTAAAATATATCAAATTACTCTTTTATGTTGCTTTGGAAGAAAATTCTGTCTTATTTATTTTTTTTATACCGGAATAAATGGTAGCTGTAGGCTTGAGAAAATAGTTTTAGTTCCCAAAGATCTTTAAACTTAAACAGAAGTTGCTCTTACGTATGTTTATTTTCAAAACTATATGCGGTATGCTTTCTATGTAGGTAAATCGGCAACGTATGTATAGTGTTGAGAAGGTGTCATGTAGATAGCTAAGTGTTTCAACAAATAGAAAGTAAATTGTGTTCTTAACAAGTATCCCTAACGAAGGGGTGGATGTATTGCTGAAGGAAACATAACGTCACGGTCTCAATAAAGCTTAGAAGATTAAACGTTTTCTAGTCTCAAAGTTAGCAATTAGGCAGGCATAAATTTCAAGGAGCACGTGAATTTTCTATAAAGAGAAAACAAAAAAAACATTTCTATCCATTTCTCTTATAAAGCATTTGAATTCTAAAGGCATTGAAAATCGACTGGAAGAATTTATAGTTGTCCCTATTTATCGATCGCGGTTTACTGAGGTGGCAAAAGTTAAGCTTATTCAGAAATCGGCAACAGATCGCTTATGACATATTTTGGGCTTTTTGATGCAAAATTGTTGCTTTTCGCTGCAATTAATGTTCCCATTTCTTACTCTTCTTCTGATACGCCGCTTCTTATTGGCACAGTTCATGAACAACAATTTGCCTATTCACCATGGTTGTCGCTCTCTCAAGACGTCATCTGATCTTCCTACTCCCCAGAGCTCGTAGCACGCGAAGTTGAAATCTCGCCTCACTCAAACTCCCATAGTTGCACTACTCAAGGCGTTTGTATAACGGAAAAAAACTGACTGCCATTCGTCGAATCTGAGAACAACTCGCATTTTTGACCGTTCTCGCCTGTTTGTCGTCACGCTATTGGTTGGTGGAGATAACCACTGCAGGCTGAACAAAACTCCACATTTATGCGACTTTAAATGGCCACTTTAGAGGCTAATGAATTCCATTCCATCTTTTATTCATATTGCTGAATGGCGGGCGTACGTAGACTACTCTTATAATTTGACATGATATTAAGCCAGAGTCTGCAGAATCCCTGTCTGAATTACAGTCTTTAAATATTTTCACTTTCGTGCAATAAGCCGGATGCAACCCCGCAAACCCGTTGAAGTTTTGGTTAGGAGGTTAAAAAGCTTCTAATTTTAGGACCGACGGTGCTTCAGCAATGATGCGTACAACAGGACTTAAAACGCGGCTTTTCTGTTTTTGCTACTTTAAAGATAATACGATTACAAGGAAAGGCGTCCCTTGGGAAAATGAGTAAGTTTATTCAGCAAAATTTCGACACTGGACCCCCAGGTTGTCGTCAAACTCGAGAGTAATGTGCAAAT